GAGAGAGAGAGAGAGAGAGAGACCACCCGCGGAGGGTGAGAAGGGAATTTATTTATTTTTTATAAAAGATTTATTCTGGGTTAGCCTTCATAGCTGAACCTCGGTATTACACCAAGTGCTGTAGCTAATATTAGCTGGGTTTTTGCCGGTGGACATAAATACAGTTTTGTAATATTCTATTCACAAAATATAAACAGTAATATGTCCATCTTACTTGTGAAACGTTGTCCCCTGAGATCTCACGTCAATACTCCGTTGATCTGAACAGAAATATCCGGCGGTGCTGAGGCGTCTGCTGCTGTTTTGGTTTAGCCAAGTAGGAGGGACGACCTCTCCAAGATGGCCACCGTGTTTCCTGCACCAATGTGGGTCTAGTCTTTATGATGTTCATGTTACTAATTAAATGCGCTAACATTTATACTAATATTTCAAGTTGTCAGTCCCTGTCCCTGTTTCAGTGTAAAGAGTTTCAAAATAAAAGCCTGTTGAGCTCAGAGGCTTTATTTAAATAGTCTTGGTACACTCCTACTTCTGAACAAATTTTAATTCATAAATTGAAAAAAATCTGCCTGTTGCATCCTGAAGTTTGATCAAATTCTTTATTAACTTAAGTGTTTGTCTTATTTTTTGGTGAATTTTCAGCGACTTTAGTGACGATTTCTGCTTCAACAAATTCTAAATACATTCTAATCCTGCAAGATGATTGTTTTATTGAACACCACCATATCTCCAGTTTGCATGAAATTATTTTAAATGCATTAAATAAATCCTCTTGTCTCTTTTGTCTGTTGTAGAAGCAATCCTTTTTAATAAAGACCATTTATTATTTATTACCGTTTATTCACCCTCGTTTTCTCTGAAGCTAATAAATCAAGTCTGTTATGTTTAGATCTCAGTAAAACCATTTTTATGCAGTTGAATTCCTGAATATTTTTAATTTTCTGCATGAAAACGTTTTTTATCCTTCAGCTGAAAGTCATTGGAACTGAGAAATGTTTTTATAAGTTTAATTATCCACTTGAAAGAAACTTTCAAATTATTTTTTTCTGTCTTAATTTATCAAACTGTTAAGTCATTTTCATGTTTTAATGCATTTAGTTGCATTTGTTTCTTCATTCTGGGGAGTTCAGGAAAACAAATGTACTGATCAGAAATCCTAACTGTGGAGAAAAGACCAAATCAGAAAAATGTCAAACATTCAAGTTAAATATTTATTATATTTATTTATACAGCACATTTTCAGCAACAAGGCAATTCAAAGTGCTTTACATGAGCTAGAGGAAATACAAACAAAATAAAAGAAAGGCAAGAGAAAAAAGTAAAGAAGGTTCTTTTCTTGATTCATGACTTGATAAAACCAGATGTTTGATGGTCCTGAATGTTGATCTAAAGTAATGAGTCATTTCTATAGAGTTTCTCTGGACTCTAACTTTGTTCTAATTCTTTTTCTGGGTTGCAAGATAATTATAAGTACTCCATAATTAATAAGCCAGAAGTCTTGGAAGCTAGTCTTAGGTCTGCTTTGCTTCCCCAGAACCAGAACCAAACAAGGACAAGCAGCTTTCAGCTTCTATGCACCACAAATCTTTAAAAAACTTCTGGAAAATTGCAAAACAGCTGAAACACTGAGTTCCTTTAAGTAAAGGCTGAGAGCACCTGGTTAGATCTGCTTTTGATTCATAACTGCAACATTGACCAACATATTTGTTATATATTTGCTTGATGATTTTGATGATAGCATTTGACAAGTGTAATATTGCAATGTTTAAAAAAGTTTATTGCTTGTTCCATGATTACTTACTGTGTGATGTCTTTATGGTGGAAAAGACTTTGAACCATCTTGTCGTTTAAATATGTTATACAAATAAACTTTATTAGGCAATTTAACATATAATGGTAAAAGTAATTTTATTTCTATAGCAAATTATCAGCAACAAGGCAATACAAAGTGCTTTACAGGAATTAAAAGGAAATACAAACAAAATAATAATAAACCCTAGAAAAGAGAAAAAGAAGAAAAAGCTAATGTTGATCCAAAGTAAATAAACCAGATATTCCTGTTCAGGGTTGGTAGAGAAGTATCAGTAAGTTTCCATTTCACCCATTTATTTATTTATTTAATTTTGGCTGAAATGGCTCTCCATAAACAGGAGTCTAAAAAGTAATTGCTAAGGTAAATTTTATGGGTTCCAAGTTCTAATCCCTGTTCTGGGTTGATAAATCTAGAGTTTCTAGAGTAAGTAAATCTAGAGTAAGTAAGTATGTATCCTCTGGACTTTATAGGTGCGCTCTAAATTTGTAAAAGTAATGAGTACTCCACAGTTTCTAAACTAAGAGTTCCTGTTCTGGAAGAATATAACTGTAGATGTAATTAGTTTATTCAGAATATAAAGTCGGAATAAAAGTTGCTCAATTCAACTGGCCAAAAGTTTATGTTTTATGTCTCAAAACAAGTTTAAAATGGAGTATTTGGAGAAAATAAAAACTTGTAGTGGGAGACGGAAATTAAAGCCCATTGTCTGTTTCTGGGGGAAGATTTCCGTGGGAGACATCCGGCGGAAATAAACAACATGGCGCTAGCAGCGTTAGCTAGCAGGCTTCTTCGTGGTTATCGTCGACATGAAGACGGTTTCTGACTATTTCAGTGTCTGCAGCAACAAGCTCTTCGGTTCATCATCAGAGAGACCTGGAGAAATATCCAGCCACATCCGGTAGGAGGAAGAGACGATCTGCAGCTCAGAAACCCAAATCTTCGGAACCTCCAGGTAGTGTTTGCTGTTTCAGGCTTTGTCTTGATTTAAAGACTATTGTGCTGCAATTAATGGATATGGACCATTTTTAACTCTCTGGGCGTCGAAATCTGAAACACTTTTAATGTTTAATCTTAAGTTTTATTATTTCACACAAACAAAAGCCTAAACAGTTTATTTATGAAACCTTTCATGCAGTGGCGCAAAAAGTGGGTGTGCAGCGCATAGGGGCGCTGCGCCAGAGGGGGCGGCGCCCCGATGATGCCTTCGCTTCACCGTCCTTACGCTCCTTCACATGTAAATGTAAATGCAGCGAGTTTTACCTTTCACGTGTCTTCGTCTGGGGGGTGAGCGACTGTATG